ATTTAATTCATTTCTTTTACTTATTTTTCTATTTACGATTCTCAACTTTTCTTGTTTTTTTCTCAATGGATGGAAGTAAATTAGTAAGTAAATGTGTGTGTGTATATATAAACTCTGAAAGTTCTGGTAAACTGATAGTTATCATGCATTCTCGTCAAGTATTTTCAAGTTCCATTTAAATTTACTCATGAAAGATGAGCTTGAATTTCAAACTATTTTGTTATTATTTCGGGTACTCTTTGGGTATTGGATGAACACCTCAGGGTGAACTTGATAAATTTCGTCTCTAGTAGATTCCAAGGTGAGCTAAAGTGTAGATAGTAAGTTAGATAAATGTTAATCTTTTGAATGCAGAAAAAATCAGATTATTATCATGAGAGTGGAATAAAAAACATTACAATATTTCAAAAAAAGATATGATTAGATTAAGAAATCAATTGATAATCTGGTGATTTGAAATCCAATGAAACAATTTATTCAACGTTCAAAATGAATTTATATCCCATAAAACCATAGATTGGTAATAAAATTGATTCAAATTTTGACCTTTATTCAATTTAAAACCATATTTTTATTAGAAGGTCACATGTTTGATAATAAAGGGACAAATACTATTTTCGAGTTATCATTCTACTCGAAACTTGAATTTTTTTACAAATAATGATGTTCATTGGGATGTTGAACGGAATCTTTAATAAGCACTTTTGATTTGTCTTGATGTTGCACCACAGTAGTGAGCATCCATACCATGATTTATTCATCGAAGCTGAACACAAAAATTGACTTTAATATGAGCTTCCTTTTGGTGTTTTAAACTATCCTGTAATGTCCACCCAGGCCATGAGCAGCCCATCTAAATTTTCTGAAAACTTGTGGATTTCGACTTGTCTACCATTAACAATTTTCCTATGTTGTTAATAATTATATTTGAATTATTATTAGCAATAATAATATTGAAAACATAATTGTTTAGTGTGTGGATAACACTGAACAGTCTCAATGTACTAACAGTTGATAGTTTGCTACTATTAACAACTTTTCCTGTGTTGCTAGTCACTAAATTTCAATTACTATTATTACATATATTGATATTGAAGTAATAATTGCTGACTGTTGAATGAGGGTAACGCTGACCAGAAGACTTAACAGAATTGAAGCGCTCGATTTTACTATTTTCAAGGTCATTGAGGTAATTTTCCGAACGACGCTTTGCAAGGTCATTTTATATTCTTTCAAATGACCTTAAAATGACCTTTTAACACGTTTTTCGAGAAGCTCCGAAATTGAGCCAATTTATACAATGACTGTGACCAATTAAGATGAATTTCTGCATTTTAGTTAAACTGCTATCTAATTTAATTAAATCAAAAAGTGAAGCTTGAAACTAACTCATTGATTTGCATTGAATGAGAGAAACAAAAATCATAATTGTTTAATTATTTTATCAGTTTTAATTAATATAATGAATTGATGGATTATCGCCAGTTTATCGTCAAATGACTAACACAACTAAAGGCATTACTTGAAATAACCTCATCAGAACTTCATCATCATCTATTATCATGTTAATCAGGATGAACATGGAATGATAAATAAGAGGCAAAAATTATTTCTTTCTGGAGCTTCTTTTTCTTGGTTGATTATAAGCAACCAATGTAGATGATTGAGTAAATAGCCTCAGGGGAGTTTGAATAGGCGATAATGGTAATCATTCATCAGATGAGAATGGAAATAATTAGCAAGATTATTCAATTCAAGTTAATTATTAATCGTGAAATATAAGCTAAATTTTTGGGAAATGCACGCGAAAAAATTAAGAAAAATTGTCAATTTATCAAATAAAATAGTCGAAGGTCAAAAATCTTGAACCAAATTCTCAATGAATAATAATCACGATAATAGATTATCACTTAATTAGTAAGAATGATAATTTACTGCTCACCAATTAAATGAGGATGAAGAAACAATAAAAGACATTAGTTGATGCTGTGGTTTCCATCATTCTCATGAAAATGGAGAAAAAAGTTCTGAAGAGAGAGATAAAAGTTCAGCCCTTCTGGTTATACATGAATCTTCATAATTATTATCATGATAATTATCAAGTCTAATTAATGAACTCATTTTTATTCCCACTGAATCATCATGTTCAAGTTTAGTGGAAATTTTTTTTTCTCCTCTTAATGTTGATTAACACTGAACACTTTCCATGTTTATCTTTGGGAATTTCTTTTCCTACTTTTCCCAATTTTCAATCATAAATTACCAACTCATCAACTCGGTGTAAAGGTAATTGGCAATTTTGGACTTTGGTGATAACGATGGGAAACAGTTTCTCTTGTCAATTTTCATCCACTTTATTGATCGATGGACATCAGAGCATAGAAAGTGTTGATTGGTTTTTATATCGATCATCAAACTTGATTTGGTAATTTCTTCCTTCTCGATTTTCATCCAAATCAATATCAAAAACAATTTTCTAATATAACTCAGCTTATGGTTCAATACTTTGTGGTTATCTTCATCTTCATCTCGAGCATCTTTCAATGGAGAGCGAGAGTAAGAGAGAGAGAGAAAGTTGGAAAGGATATAATCTTCATCCGTTTTCATCATCATCTTTTGTTTATATAAAAAGATGATCATGATACATTTAGCTGTACAGGGCGATTCAGCTATTTTTACCGAAGTATTCACTCACTCACTCAATCCGACTCACTTCGGCGTCTAAAATTCCGTATTCTTGCAATACTATTTAATGTGTAAACATTAATTATTTTTGCAATTATGACTTATGACTTTTGTTCCGTGGTTAACTCTAATGATATCTCTTCGCCAGTTGATGTAAATTCATTTGATTTGAAAAAGTTAGAAGATAAAATGCCGTATCCGTTCGAGAAAATCCAAGTGAAGTTGGCCTGTCTTTGGTTTACTAGGGATGCCAGATATCATTTTGAATGGATCAAACTCTAATCAGATCTACAATACATGGCAATTCAGCTATTTTTACCGATGTTTTTTGCGATTTTCTCAGCAACTAAGAGTCGTAGAGTCATTCAGGTCATCGGTAAAATAACACGTTTCAAGGTTATCTGAAGGTAATGCAATAAAGAAGAATATTCAGAGACACTACGGGCAAGTTTTGAGGTTTCTATGAGCTTTGCAATGCACGTTAGGATAAATTTATTGCATAAAAGATTTTCAACAGTTATTCAATTAAACAGTAATATCTCAATATCTGTGACACAAGAATCTCTAAACTCATTTTACAGGGTTAAAAATGTGAAGGATAACTGTAGCACCTTCAGATGACCTTGAAACGTGTTATTTTACCGATGACCTGAATGACCTTGATCTTTTGATATGACAAACAAGTATCGCTCAAGCTCATACCAATCAAGTCTCGTGTCTCTACGACTCTTAGTTGCTGAGAAAATCGCAAAAAACATCGGTAAAAATAGCTGAATTGCCCTGTATATTCATTAAATTGGTTAATATTTTAGGTAAACGTTTAAATTGATGCTTTACTATTGAGATGAAGATGATATTTAGAGGAAATAGGAGCACATTGGATGAAAAAAGTTCCATGATCATGATTAAGATAAAGAATTATGTTCAGTTAGAGAGTTCTTGATTATTCTATCTTGGTATATTCTCTCTCTTCATTTTCATTTCTTTCTTAATCGTCATAAAAAGATCATCGTCTTCTTTTATTGAAATGACAAAATCTAATGATACATATATATAAATGTACTTGAATAATAGTCTCAGATTCTGTATCCATTTGTTTCCTTTATTATTAATCATTTGAAAAGTTTAACATGGAATCTTTTTAATCATCTTCCAGTTATCATCCTTTTGTCATTTTAATATTAATACTTAATGTTTTCATCATCATCTTTATTTTCATCTTCTCTCTCTCTCTCTCTCTCTCTCTCTCTCTCTCTCTCTCTCTCTCTCTCTCTCTCTGCCTTAATAACTATTATCATTTTCATCCTTTTAATTCTGTAATCATCTTGTGATGAATGAAATCAACCAATTAGAAAGTTAATCATCCTTTCATCACTTATTTACTTGCAAATGTAAAAGCCAATCAAGAATCAGTCATCATCATCTTCTTCTTTATCATCATCTTTACTCATCATCATCATTCACAGAGTGAGAGGTAATCATTTAAACTTGACTGCTCACTTGAACTAAATTATATCCTGGATTCTGTTCCCACCCACAACCTGAACATCAACTAGTGACAATTTAATGTTAATACTGATACTTAATCAAATGATCAACATATTGATCACTAATATCATGAAACTATTCAGAAACAATGAAGATGATGATACATGGAGTAAATTATCAATTGGAATCCCAAGAGAGAATCTAGAATATAAAAAGAGAAAAAGGAGAAGAAAAAAAATTCGATACAACTTTTTTTCTGTTCTATTCTCTTTCAATATATTTCCCTCCTTTGCCACTTTGATATTTCTAATCACATTTTGATAACTCATATTAACAATAGATTCTGGTTTCTCTTTATCATCATAATTGTAACAATTTGATCATGATTAGTGATTCAAGTCACATTCATAACAAAAAACAAGAGAACCCAAAATTGTGAATGAAATAAAATCAGTGAGAAAAAAATTATCTCCAAAAATTATTAGTTTATTATTACGGTTATTAACCTATGAAAGGGCAAAGTTGAAACAAGATAATATTTATCATCATGCGAGAGAGAGAGAGAGAGAGAGAGATATGATAAATCATCATGAGCTATATTTAGGCCTTTGTTTCAACCTCCACCATGTTACTATCAACATGTAAACTTAAAGGATATTAACAAGATGATAATGTCTTATGGTCATTTCATGATTAGTGTTAGTTTAATGCTTTCAGTTTTTTTGTCTTTTTCTTTTATTATTATATTAGGATGAGGATGAGGATGATGATAATGATGACCCAACTAAGATGATAAGTATAATATAATTTATTGGCTATTTGCTTACCTAAAGATGTGTCCAATCAGCAAAAGATGAGCAAATATTTTGATGATCCATTGAAATGATGTTAACCTTGGTCGACAAGGTTCATTTTTATATTGACGATAATCTTGAATATACCTGGATGACCAAAATCATGTCCAGTGATGACCATGAAAAACATTGTTTCAGCAAAAGTAAACACAATCATGGACAATGTTATGTTGTATTTATATATGAATGAGTTGAAACAAGTTGAGTAAAGGTCAATTTTCATACATGAACCAGATGAATCCAAGTTTCGAGCCATTTTCATGGTGATTGTGGTCAAGCATTGGTCAGTTTGGTGGAATAGGAATACAAATATTGGAAAGAAAAATGTTTTTATATTAGTTATTAAATAATTTTGCAATGGATTAAATTTGTCTCTCTTGTAACAGTATCAAAGTTGAAAAAAGTTATCAAAAGCTCAGGTTAATCTATTATCATGAAATCATTTCTTATGATGAACTTGAAAGCTAAAGTATAGAAATCCTTTTTTTCACCCTGAAAGTTTCCTCTTGGTATATAACTTATTTATATTTTTCCCTTTTTTTTGCTGAAAATTCTGGTGATTATTCAGTTATGATGATATTCATGGTTGAAATGATAAAGTTTCTCTTATGAAATTTATTACCAAGCTGAGGAGGAATCGCTGGGTAAGGTTAGAATAAGTGAGATGCAAGAAAATAAAAGGGTTCGAACTCAGGAGAAAATTGATGAAAATGAATAAAGTTCAGTTTCTGATATCATGGAAAAAAAGAAAGAGAAAAAACTTTTTGAACTTTTCGAAAAATGCAAAACAAAACAAAATATAAAAGAAATCAGATCATATTGGTGCTTAAAGAATATGAATCATGAGTTATCTTTAAATTCCAAAAGTTTCATCAGAGATTCATATTCACAATTTTTCAATTCTCATTTGAAGCTGACAAGTTGAAGAATCCGTGAACATGATAATTTCATGGACACTTTTAAACTTAAATCTTTGCCTATCAAAATAATCGTAGCGAACTTTTTTTTATCTTTTCTCCTATTAATCATAATCATGGTGGATTAATTTGCTTGAGAACAAAAATCACATCAGAATTTAGATATTCATATTTCTCTCTCTCTCTCTCTCTTTCATGATTAACATTCCCTGTCATAAGAAATGAGATAAAACTGAGTGAAAAACTTTTCTCTAAATTCAAATCTCTTGTTTTCTACAATCTCCCATGTTCATTAACACCTAAACTTCGAGCTCATTATCTTAACATTCTGTCATTTTTTGCCCACCCTACTCTCTCATCACCACCACAGCATCAATGATTAACTTTTAGTCATTTTTCTTGGTTAAATTTCCTATTCCATACCCGAATTCATGATGTAAAATCTCATGGATTAATCGTAATATGCATTTGTAATTAGTCCCTAACTCAAGTTCATATTTATCATAATAAATACAAAATCATCACCAAACTTAATGATATATAAATTCACAGCATGAAACAAGAACCATAATCATCTGAATGGTGATGGTGGTAAAAAAAACACCATGAAAAAAAAGACTAACAAGTTAAACATGAAGCAAAAGCCTCTCAACAAATCTGACAACATTTTCCCACCTCCTCCAACCATTACCATGAAAAAAGGGGCAAAGTTTCAACCTCTTCATTGTTTTTCATGGTATTTTTTTCACCCACAACAATGTCTATATATCCCCTTTTACTGTGGGTGTTGATGTTTAATGAACAATGAATAATATCATAAGCATCATGATAAACTTGGTGATACTGAACTACTAATTAACTTGAACACCTCATTGAATTTAATCATCAACAATTACATAATACATGATGCTGATGATGGTGATAAAAAATACAACCCAATCCTTTGAGATAATAATTACTCATCAACTGATTTTACCTGAACTTGAGATTCATTTATTTACCCACCAAGGGTAAATCATCATAATCATCGTGTATTATAATTACTCTTGAGTGAAAATATTAAACCATGTTGATTAATTACGATAATCTATTGGTATTATCATTTTGAAACACACAGTTAATTTATCCTGATATGAACTTTATTGGATAAGTTTCAATTTTTAATGTATTAAAGGTGAATTGAATAAATATTTGGAATGAGATTTCATTGAGTTATCACCATCATGATCATGATCATTATTAATGACAAATATTGACAGAATTAGCTGATAGTATTTCATTGTGAATTAGATTCTCATTCAACCTTTTTTTGTCTTTATTTTTGGTCTATGGGTTAATGTCTGAGATTCAGCAAGTTTCATCTGAAATTTATCATTTCTATCGTTCACTTTATCCAGTTAACCATGATAGAGATAAAATATTCTGATTCTGTATCAGATGATCATTGATGAGAGAGTGAGAGAGTGGAAATGTGTCATCTTCTCTATCTTCTTTATCTTTATCTTTATCTTCATTTCTATTTCAAATAATCTGGAAAGAGAAAGATAAATATGAAAACGAGAATCAAGATCCATCTTTATGGAAATGGAGGGAATGTTTTATCAGAATCATTGTCAGAATCGTCATCATTTATTGACATTTTGTGTTCAATAGGGAGAAAAGTAGATGATGGGTAGTGTGTGTGAGAGAGAGACAGAGAGATCAAAGATTATAAGGATAAAAGATAAGGATGAAGATGAAGATGAAGATGATTGTCACAATTTTCTTGTGATGTAACATGTAGATGTAATAAGGACATCCGGAGCCAGTTCCGAGGGACAAGCGATCTATCAATTCATTTTCCGGACTCATGAAGATCACTTGGAATGAAAAGTGAAGAAAAAACGGAAGAAAAAATGATGATGAGGGAAAAGGAAGTTGAAGATATAACTAAAAGATACGGAGATAAGAATTCATGATTCAGAGATTGAGATGATAAATATCAAGAGCCATGATCATTATCGTTAACATGATCATGTAATAGTTGCCAAAGTATCCAAATGAAATAAAGGGTTCATGAGATAATCAATTCAAAATGTAAACATAAAATGATAAGAGAAGGACAAAGCTTTGAAATTGAATAATTTATATACAAAATTCATGGTGAACATTATCATGAATATGGATTCTATCATTTTATGCATAAATATGTTGATAATTTTTTCAGAGTGAAACTATTACCGTCTCTCTCTCTCTCTCTCTCTCTTCCCTTTTATTGTTAACCCATTTTATATCACTGGTTTCAATTCATTGCATGATAAAAGCATATTGATAACATGATATAAATCAAGAAACATGGGAAACCATTGAGTTTCCACAAGGGAATACAAGGATAAAACAAAAAAAGTTCTGAATCAGATCAGCAAAATCGTAGAGAGGGATTCAAATCATCCAACCTTTTGCATACAACAGATAACATGAATTTCCTGTCTAATATAACATTCCCAGGATCAAAGAGAGAGAGAGACAAAAATGAAAGTTTCCACCCTTCAATAATTCACCATTCAGAATGTTATCTGATTTACCATGATGATCGTTGGGTGGTGAAAACAATACAATTACTTATATCATCAAATGAGTTTAAAAGTAACATGAAAAAAAAAGATTAAAAATAGAAACCTGAATACAAATATCTTTTTTTTTTCATTTCTATTGTTTAATATTTACAATCCACCTTCAACCTCCACCCACCACCCACCACTGCTCTCTCCCACTGACTGTGTTGCTTGGATATATTTTCATGACAGAAACAAAAAAAAATAACAACAATGTTAAACTATCACGCAATGTTATTTGGATGCTAAAGGTAAATGGATATAATATCATGAGAATGGATTGATATTGTATTCGTTATGAGACAATTTAAATTGTTGAGAGTGGGAAAATGAATGGGAGGGTGTATAAGAAAAGAGAGACAGAGTGGGAAACTCACCATTTGATACTGAATATGTTTACCAGTAAAAGTGGAATAAATAAAAATGTCGAAGTCAAAATGAACCATGTATGCTGATTTTCAAGGTAAAACAGGTAAACTAGTAAGGTGTTAATGATTACATTGAGGGTGGAAAAAATAAATGACACCAGTGGATAAATAAAGGATAATGTATTTTCCTTTGGTGTGAGTATTGATTGACCAGGAGCTGAATTACCACCGGTAAGACAATCATCACCAGGACCCATTAGCATACCTAATGGTGGTGAAGGTGAGGGTGTTGATGAGGAAAGAGGCGATGAATTATTATTATCATGGGAAGATGAGGATAAAATTTGTATTAATCCGGAATCTTTTTTAATCCCATCGGATGAGGTTGATGAGGTGACCATGTTTTTTGAATTTATTATTGAATTATAGTCACTATCATATTGATAACGGTAAAAAACTGGTACACTACCGTCATTGTCATAAATGTGTTGTTGGTGATGAGGATGATGTTGTTGTTGTTGTTGTTGTCGTTGTTGCTTTTGATGGTGATGATGCTGATTAAGATGATGTGGATGATTAGGTGGTGGTAGAGGTGGAAGGTGGGGTGGAAGTTGATTTGGTAAGTGATACATTATTCTAGAAACACAGATGAAAGTTTTTTCTCACTCAAGAAAAAGTTTCATTCAGAGTAACTTCATGGTGATGATTGAAAACACTTTTGAACAATTAGCTTGTTGTTCCTGTTTTTGTGTAAATCTGATTGAATTGATTAGTTAATTGTTGATACACTTGATTGACAAGATGATTGGTGATATTTTCCTTCAGGCTTGATTGTTGAAGTTAATTGTTTACACTTACACACACATAAACATGAGGTAATGATTTTGATTCCAAATTGAATTTATATTGAGAATTGAGAATTTTTTTTTCTCACTTATCATGAATGAAAAACTTTCCAAACTGAACTTCAAGTCTACTTTTCCACTCTTGGTTTGGTGGGAGTGGGTTTTGTCTCAACGGTGGGTGAGCTTAACTATTCTTGCGCAATGTAACCCACTCTTAAACGCAGACTCTTGATTAAGTTGATTGTTGGACAATCAAATTGTTGATATGATTAAATTGCTCTTCTTCTTGTTGATGTTGTTGTTTTAAATATATAAGATGATCAAATTATCTCGCGGGAAAAATAAATTGTCACAATTTAAGGAGAGTTAACTTTTTTTTTCATTTTAATTGCTGTCCAATAATTTGTTCAATAATTAATTTAATTTCTTCTGGTTTCTTTGTTCATTACAATATAACAAGGCTTAATTATTTTCTCTTCTTCTTCTTGATTAACTTAATTAACTACTTACCCTGAGTAAATTTGAATGAACAATTTAAATTAATAGGATTAAAGGTAAATACATAAGGTGATTTGACAATTAGATACAATTGGGAAAAAGTTTAAATTACAATTAATTATTCAAAGTATTTCAGTTGATTAGTTGGTGTTGTTGTTGTTGTTAAATTTTGCAATTAATTAATCATTATTATTAATAACAACTTTTTTTAATTAAACACATAAAAGACAAAACCAACAAGTTGATTGTAACGTTTAATTGTTAACAATTAACATACTGTTTTCCAATTAAAATGTTATCCAAAGAGACAAAGAAAAAGCAAAAAGCTTCAATCAATAGTTAACAATTAACTTTTTTTTTTTGATGATTAAAATGATTAAGATTCTTGATGATGATGGTGATTAAAATTGTGACAACAATTAAAATATATTATATTTATATCACACGGAGTAAAATTGACAAATCAAATCAAATTATTTTGTTGTTGTTGTTTTTTTTGTTTGTTTTTGAATATTAATACTGATCAGATAAAATAGATTACAACTGATTAAGTGACAATTTAAAATTGTTTGCTAATTTAAAACACGCTACTAAATTAAATTAATTGTCATTGTTATTTAATATTATGTATGTATGTATATATATATATATTAATTGTTGATATATCTGGTGTTTTAATTGCTTAAATATAGACTAGACAATAACACAAGAAAAATTTGATTAATGAAATGAAATGAAATTATAATTGTAATTGTAATGTCAGAAAGGTGGAGAGAAAGGTTGGAAAAAGCTACAATTAATTGTAAACCATTGTAAACCAAAGGGGTTTGGGCTAATTGTTGAATATTGCTTTTTTAAATGGGCAAAATAAAATAATTCTGATAATTTGTTGATTGCTAGAGTAAATATAAATATATATATACACACACACAGTTTATCCTCATCTTTGTTTTTTTTTTGTAAGGTGATCAAGTGATGATGATTTTGGTGGGTGATGGGTAATGGTGGTGGTGGTGGTGATTAAGGTGGGATGTTGCTGGTTAAGTTATAGTATCAGCGCCATAAACTAAACAATTAAGTAGATTAAATTTCAGCAAAAAATAAGAAGATGAGAAAAAAACAATTTTTTCGACTAAACAATTAACAAAAACATCGATGTGTGTAAATCACTTGAAACTTAACCTACAAACCAACAACAACACAAGAAAATAAAGACATTATAACTTACAGAGAGAGAGAGAGAAAGAGGATAAAAGGGAAAAGGGAAAAGATGAAGGATAAAGACTGTATGTATAAAGATATTGCATCGTGATGGTGGGAGTGGGCAGGAGATGGTAGAGAGAGAGAGGGGGAGAGGGAGAGAGATGTAAGATGAGGAGTGTTTAAAGGTATATATATATATGTGTGTGTGTGGATGGATAATAATCAGAGTAATATATGATATATGATAAATATGTGTGTGTATGTATATGTGGTTATAACGAAGATAATAATTAATATAATAATATCACCATGATGAAATAAAGCCAATAACCTCAACAATGGAACATGCAAAGTCTCCACTGGTACATAATGGTTTGTTATTAAAAGTATCACAACGTTCCGTTTTACCTTTGGTAAGATTTTCATCTAACCAAAGGCCAACTCCGTTACCAGCACCAATGGTAATCATTTTGGCATTAGCGGCCATAAAGAGTTGACATGAACAAGGAATGTTTCTCGTTTGGTCTGAACCATACTCTTTGGTACCAACCCAGGGATAATAAGCAACCTTTGGTTTTAATGTGAATAGGAATGTTTCCCCGGTACCGAAATATTGTTTCGCTGCGCCCTTACGATCAAATCCTAATCGATCAGACCATGAGGTTGAGCAAAAAGCACCGAAGATCTAAATTAAAAAGTGTAAAGAAAAAAAAACAGAATAGAAAACAATTAGTCAAAATTACAATAATCAAGGTGAGAGAGAGAGGGGGAGAGAGAGAGAGAGAGAGAGAGAGAGAGAAAGAGGGAGAGAGAAAGAGGGAGAGAGGGAAAGGGAGAAAGGGAGACTCTCTTTAATTATCATCTGAGTCAACTTATTGTAAACTGTTTGCAATTAAAATGCAAATGATGTCTTGACGAAAGATCTTGATAAATGCAATCAATTGTCAAGAGATAAAAATATATCATCATGTAGACAGAGAAATACGAAAGAGATAATAAAATAAACACCTAATTTTACATTGGTAAATAAGGTTCAATTTTTATCTTCGTCATTATCTTCTTGAATTACAATGCTGAGAAAACTAAATTGGTTTAATTGGATTAATTTAACCAAATAGTTTCCTCTTCTTCCTGATCTCTTCATTTAAACTGTTATGATAATGCTGATTGTGGATCAATTGCTGTTAAATGTATTAAATTGTTGCTCAGTGATTTACTTTTCTCTTTTTCTCTCTTTCACACTCTCTCTCTCCCTCTCTCCCTCTTTCTCTCTAAATAATATTTTTTTACTTCTCCGCTCTTCTCACTCTATCTCTTTCTCTATCGATATTTTGTCTTTTCATCATGTTATCATCTCATCTTCATCAACACCATCACTATTATTTATGTTACTGTTAATGAAATTGGATTCTCTGATTATGAATCGATTAACTATCTCAAATTATCATATCGTAATAATGATAATATATTACAAAATCAAAAAGGTGAGTTAATCATAGCTATCAATTTGTTTTTGTTCATTTTGTTAATTTGATTTGTATGTTCAAATTAATCAACAATCAAGGATCAAATTTTTATCTTTATCTTTCCCTTTCTATTTTCCTTTCATCTCTTTTTTAAATACATACATATATATCTCTCTCTCTCTCTTCTCTCTGTCTTTTTACATGTCTTCCTTTGTGATTGTGGGTAGTGAAAGTTAATTGTTGGCATGATGATGATTTCATGATTGATATTATTATTTACCTCATTGTTGACTGTTTTTATGAGTAAAATTGATTGTTCAACAGTTTCATTTTTAGCATAAAATGTAGACAATGAATTTCCATGGACATCTGAACAGAAGATGATGACCGGTTCTTTGATGAGTGTTCTTTCAGGTATCCAATCCCAGAGTATATCTAATAATTGCCAATCACATATTGATGATTTAAGAGATCGTGGTGCTATCCGAGTACAATCAGATATTTTAACCGAATCAAGGCTGATCATTTCAAGTTTCCTTGATGAGGTTGGAGTAAGATCATTATAACCCAGATGATGTGAATGATGATAAGGTGATGGTGGAGCTGAGCGTATTTTAAATTTTTCCGTTCGGTGGGAGGCTTCCTTGTAGGTTCGGTCAATTTTTGAACGAGATAAACGTCGTAATTGGGTTGCCACGGTTATTAGCTCATCGGGTGTTAATTTGATTGTCTCACAAAAGGACAACATCAGGTCCAAGGTGAATGGTGACGAAGAGGATGTTGAAGATGATGAAGAGGAGGAGGAATTTGTTGTTGTTGTTGAAGTGTTATTGTAGGTGGTGTTTGATGTAGATGTTGATGTATTTGATGTATTAAAGTTGTTGGTGGCAGCAGCAGAAGTGGCAGAGGAACCATTGTTAATATTGTTGGTAGAGTTAATGTTGTTTAGGTTATTTATGTTGGTTGAAGTGTTATTAGTAATCATACCAAGACGAGAAGGTGGTGATACTGGTCTGGAATTTTTATACAATATTAATAATGTTAAACCAATACGATAAAGAAATTTTGTTCCTTCTACCAGGAAACAATCCATTATTCTGACAACATGTTCAAAGGGTAGACCAATGAAAATCCATTTTAACCAATCAAGGAAACAAGCGTCCATTTCATTTTCTTTAATCAAACGATCCCGTTGTTCAGTGAAAAAACCTCGCCTTGGAAGGAAACCAAATTTATTTGTTAATCGTAGTAGAACATAAGCTTGACGGACAATTTGGGTTCTCGATTGGGGCAATAGATAAGGTCCTTCTTTACCACCAATACCTGATGAAGGTGCTTCCAATAAATAGGTTAATGAGGTTAATGTTTGAGTAATGTCATAATAATGAAGAAAAAGAGCCGCAATTGGATATAATAATGGGCAAAGGGTAATCTCATTGTGTTTGAGAGCTAAAATCCATAGAATACGTTCAATTAATCTTTGTCCATCAGGGTTTAACTTAAAATAACGACAATAATTTGGATCAACAAAAGAAGGTAATTTACGAGGTAAATCACCAGGTAAACGATCGGTAATCATCCCATTAGAATATGATGTAGACAATTGTAATACCTGCATTTCAACAACACTTGCACCACCACCACCACCACCACTACTACGATTATTATTTTTACTATTATTTCTACCAGTAATTGATCCTTTATTAGTTGCACTTCCACCGCCACCAGTAATACCACTACTACCATCAACACCAACACCTCCTCCTCCTCCTCCTCCTCCTCCTCTATCAGATTGCCCGCCACCACCATCATTAACAAATACTGTTGCAGATGAGGAAGGTGAAAGTAAATTAGCTTTAAGGAGATCTTCAAATTGAGGCTCAGAGGTTGTTTTCTTATATGATCGACATAAAGATGGCCATAAATTGGTACGAATTGGTGAATTACAGGGGATCTGGAATTTTCGACACAGAGTTTTCAACTTTGACTGGTTACGGGATTTTACCCATTCCTCCAGAGGAGGATTATTATAAACATTTATTATAAACATTGTAATCACAATCAGTGTTT